AAAAACATTTTTTATTTAAAATAAATACAGACAAAGTTGCGGGTTTACGTTGTTAAGTTTGTCTACAAATAACATTCCGAGTCATAGAACACAGCAACAACATCGTCCGCAAATTACACTCGTATTTTTTTTATTTGCTTTTGTACAAATTTTAATACTGATTTGAATTTATATGCCTTTTGTATCATAGGCCTACTTATTATACATTTAAGTTCAATATGCATTGTCCTTTTAGTTTTCTTAATGTAATAATAATCTTCTTAATCTAATTCGAGTTATAACTCCAGAAAAGAAAGCAGCTAATTGTTTCAGAAATTTTAAGCTTCCGATATACACTGACATTGCAAATAAATACCTTCAAACATGTTCAACATATTGAAGATATTCGATATTGATTGAGAAAATTGATCTCATTTTAAATGTACCTATTTATAATGTGTGAAAAGAAGGTCCCGTTTTTATTAAATCCATGAGATGAATAATAATTGGCTTATGTAAGGTAATTGAATGATACGCATAATCGTTTCCCCACAGAAGCGAAATGTAGGGAACTGGGTCATCCCGATAACATGACCCTGAAAGCTCGGGAGCCGGCAGTGAACTTGGACTGACCTTAACATTGTTGCTGTATTCTACGAAGGTCATACACATTATCTGCAGTTCGAAATACTGTTTCCGAAAGCGCAACAAGTACTTACTTTCCGCACGTTTTATTTTTTTTAAACTGGCAACAACTACAAAACTACTTTTGGAAACGCGATTAGACCAATGATCGCCTAATTAACTATTTTTATAATCATTACAGATATGAACAGAAGAATTAAGTTTATAATATTAATTAATATTAAGGATATTTCAAAATACATTTATATATTCTAACTACATTTTAAATATTAATGTTTTGTGATAGATTATAATGCAAATATACAATTCACTAATAATAATTTCAAATAAAAAATCTAATAACGTTAAAAAATTAAAACATCTGATAAACAGATAATGGAGGTATCTAATGTTTAAAACGTAAAATCGATGGCTAAAATTTCTATGATATAGTTGTTAAATTTCAATTTAATTACTTAAAAATCTTCTAATCTAATCTTAACAATAAAGCTATGTATACATGATAGTTAAAAATATATAGAGATAATTTAAAAATGGAATAAAATACCAGTAACATACCTTAAATGCCGTCTGATCACATCGATATTGGCTGCCTTTCAAATAAATTCATACGTTTAATGGAAATATCACGACACCAAAAACTAGGTTATATTCGACTTTTTAAAATACTTACGGGATACGGGTAGACGATCTTCTTTGTGAGCAAAGGTCTAAATTGAGCTATGACATGTCCTTCTCCAAATCAGGTTTGAAAGGGACCGTAGTGTTTTGCAGATGCTTGCTTGTGTCTGGCATGCATGACCACTAACATGATTTGGGTAAAGTTATTATTACCACGCGATGTAATGCTAGCGTCCGCCTTAACTTGTAATTGAGTAAGACAGTCTCAATAAATAAATAATAAAAAAAACGAGGAAAATAAATCTCCACACATCAGACGAAGACGAACCAAAGTGTTGGATTCGCATAGTATCGTAGATATTTGACCTTATGATTATTATTAATAAGATATTCTAGAAGAAAAACGTGTATTCCGATCGTAGGCATTCGTGTCAAAAGGAAAATACTAAATTTGCGGCGAAAGTAGTGATTTGTGTAAACATAACCATTGCATTGACGGTTAGTGTGAGTGCATTAAGCATAACAAGGCTTTGAGCATGAGCATCCGTGATCAGGCTTCATGCGACGACTTACACGGAATCTGTAAACTCAGTGGTATTCGTAGTCCCAATGGTACAATCTCTCGGTGTGGATGCTACCGCTGTGTTTGTTTAATGACGTAAGTATTGAGTTCTTTTAGTTTTCGACATTACGAACACAAGCCGCATTATCAACAATGTCAACATTTAAAAACAATAATTGTTATCGTCGCGTTAAAAACAAAATTCATTTAAAGTGTTGATCCAAAAATTATAGGCTAAAAAACAGAAAAAAAATTACTACCAATATTAATTATTAATGTTGAGCCGATTTTGGCAAGAAACCATTTATATCCGACGTTATTTATGCTTTCGATCAGGAGTTTAAGTTAGTGAACATATTGAGGTACATCGGGATTGTTTAAAACACTGCTGACGCCTACAGTTCGATATTGATGTTGCTAAACCGTAAATCTTCTTCAACGTACAAAGTTTCAACTCAATCGGGTAAACGAAGCCCGCCCGAACACGCAAAAAACTACTAGAAACATTCTCTTTCTAATAGTATATTTATTAAAATAGCCACGTTTATTATATATGCATATATTATGAGCATAAATTAACATAATATATTTTTATTGCAAATAATACGCTTTCGGCTCTTGATAGAGAGCTCTCTGGCGCTCTCCTATAAAAAAAATGGTAATTCCTTAAGTATGATTGTCATAACAATGTATATTTCAACTATTACATTAAAATACTGATGGGTTTCAAATTATCTATGTAACCATTAATAATAAATATTAAATTTGAAAAGTGCAGTTGTTCAAACTTATAGTATGTGGTAAAAAAGATTTTTGACGTCGTATCTATCAAGCTAATCTATCCTTTACAATCACTAATGACGTACCGTATGCAAAACCACAATACTATAAAATTAGTTTTAATCATAAAAATTAAATGAATAAATTGGATTCACGTTCAATTAATTAAATTTTTTTTAGATTAAAATAAAACTTAATTAATTTTATTATTCGTATTCAGATCGATTTACTTTTTTATTGGTTTGGATGGGCAGAAGTCTAGTCAGCCTATTATTGAGCCATTACCGTCTTAAAAAGTCCTTACAACTGACGTGAGGTCGAATTCTGTATTAAATTACTATAACGGTTCTCCCAGCCTACGTGCCAAAACACACGACTACTTCGCAGCAGAGACAGGCCGGATGGTGGAAACATCCGTGTGGACTCTTAATGAGAATTTAATAAACCTGCAAGTTTGATTTTATTAAAATGTTCTTTCACCCTAAAAGCCATTTGCGTTTTGTTCACTCCAGCCACTGCACCGGACATTGCAGCTATTTGGACTACATTGCTTTATACTTTAAAAATTAATATCTGCTAAAATATACAATACGTATGAAATGGAAACGGCCCGTGAGCATTCTAGATACATGCCACCGGAGTAGAGTTCATCCATACTACCTGGAGCCACTACGTTCATCCACAGTGCGTTTCCAGAGATCTTTTCTGCCACGCACCATCCGGCTTTGGAATGAGCTCCCTTCCACGGTGTTTCCCGAGAGCTATGACATGTCTTTCTTCAAACGAAGTTTGTGGAGAGTACTAAACGGTACGCAGCGGCTTGGCTCTGCCCCTGACATTGCTGGAGTCCATTGGCAACAGTAATCGCTCACCATCAGATGGACCGTATGCTGGTCTGCTTAATCAAAAAAGCTTATGTACTCGAAACCTAAAAAAGAGTGGTTTAGTTTGTATCGGTGTGTTCTTAACTCTAGCATAGCCATACAACGAGTTTCTTACTTATCAGACAACAACGACTTAATACCCGGTCTTATCTTTACCACATCACATACCTCTATGACCAAAGTCAATGTCATTGACAGACTCTATTGATGTCTATTTTGAGTATGTACTGTAAAGATTATATATAGATTATTATAGTATTATGTATAGATTAAATACATTAAAATTATAAGCATCGTTCAGTCGTCATAGCGACAATCCGAAACAAATTAATTAACTAACAACAAAATTTAACTTACATAACCATAACCAGCCATATGTATATATATATATATATATACATATATATATGACACATTTTAAATTTAGAAACACATCATCGTACAATTTAACATTTGACAACAATCACAGATGCAAGTAAATACATAATGTTTAAATAATTCAATCGGAAATATTAGAATGATTTTTACATCTCCATAGTTATAGGTGTTACATTTGCATTTCTGTTTCTAGATAGATGCCAAATAATTAAGTATTTTTAATATATTTAAAATCGCTTCACCTCAATTGGTGAATTTAATTTCACTATAAATAACGTCTCAAAAATATATATATTTTTTAAATTACTTTCTTTCTGTCTGTACATGTATCTGTGCAGTGAGCTATATAAAACTAATTGATACATTTCAGATTACATCGAGTAAATGTTATGAGATACAAAAACAAGGTTCTTTTTAAAAAAATGCTGAACGTAACTTCGTCACGTGACGTCATTTGAGGCCAAAAGAGTAATTGGCCGTTTATTGAATTAGGAACCCTCGAGCTACTTTTCAGATCGTTTTCTTATTGATTTCTGGTTGTCTATGGCGTTTAAATAGTTCTTAATTTTTTTTAAATGGTTTGTTACTTTTATTATTTATATTAAACGTCAAATGAAACAGTTTCACATGAAAGAAGCTTTGTTAGAAAAAAATAACACTAAATACGTGTATTTATCATACAATATAAATATACTTGACTCTGGTGCCTCAAAAGTGTTCCGGTAAAAAAGTTAGGCTCTCAAACGTTTTTCCTTTTAAATTTCCCGTATTCAAACAAAGCGGATATCAAAAATATAGTTATTAATTAAACTCTATATACCAAATATACAATCATTTGAATTTTAAAACATTCAAAATATTACATCTGTTTTAAGCGCAAAACGGCTTCTTCGGGGTTAAATATTATAAAGTAAATTTTTATTTTTATTTTTTTATAATATTAAATTCAGGTTAATATTACAAACATGGCAATCCTTTAGTGGACGTTACGCAAATTAACATCTGCTTTTATTCGAATATAATACGTCAAAAACTGTAGAAAATTCTCGATCATCCGTATGCGAATTAATATTGTAAAATCATTACATAAATTAAATAAATTTCTTTCATTTATTTATATTAGACAAATTATCAACAAAAAAAAACAAATTTTCAAGGATCATGTACATACGTATAGGAGTAACTTTATTCCGTAATAGCTTTTAAATGACTAAACAGATTTGGACGTATGGTGTAAAATGTACGCTAGAATCCTTACTTACATAATCTCAAGTGACTTCGACTATATTTTTCTTTTTTTGTTAGTTTATAAGGAGGGCAGTCGTTTTCTTAATTAGCTAGAAGGGCAGGAAACCCCACCGCCCACCCGATGATAAGCCTTTACCCAAGCCCATAGATAGAACAACATGAATGTCACTACCCATATCTGCTTAAGACAATATGGGCATATCATAAAAATTTGTTAGTCAAATTATTTCATTTAAAAACACTCTTCTAGATATAATCGCCTGAATCGGTCATTTACATATTTACAATTCTCGGAATCTCATCTCAATCTTTAGTATTATTGGAATTACTTCAATATAATCTTGTTGCAACTGATTCACTGTCTTCAGAATGGGGAACTTGTTAAAATTATACATATAACTTTTTTTTTTCTCAATATTGTAAACCATAATAATTTGGGATTCCCTTATAATACGACATCCAAACGTTGACAAATCCGAATGTAGAAAACTAGCTTTATAATAGGTCAACAAAATAATGTTATATATAAATAAAGAATAGAATAGAAGAACGTAGTAAAGTTTCGCGAAAATACCATTTAAAGCCATAGATAGATACAGTTATATACTTATTAGATAAATATTTAAATATTATATAGTATTTACAGCAAAAAGTTTGTTAGGTCGGTCTTCGTATTGGGGAGCGGTCGCGAGGCAGACCTTAGTTAAAGAGATATCATTACTATCGTTTTTTTTTTTATTTGCAGCTGAAGTAAAGACCTCCGTTTTGGCATCTGAAACGTAAGAGAAAACGGATTTCAGTAACATTTAAATATAGTATTATTACCGAGTTTTGGTTTATTTACTAAACTATTTTGTGTTCTAATTCTGTGTAATTTTTTTTAAAACTTTCTCACTTCTTGTCATTAGTGTATGTATTATATTATATTCGGCATTATGTGCTATATAAGAAAAACAGTGAGCGTGCAACTTGGTGCATGTGAATGGAGTGAAACTTATTTTTCGATGTGCAGTATTGTGGTTTTCTTCATTTTCATCCTTAAATCAGATTGCTCTTGTAATAGGGAATACTGTGTATAAGCAATGCGACATCTTCAACATTTATATATATAATTTCAGGTGTTAAGTGGTTACTGGAGCCCATAGACATCTACGACGTAAATGCGCCACCCACCTTGACATATAAGTTCTAAGGTCTCAATGGTCTCAAGTATAGTTTCAACGGCTGACCCGCCCTTCAAACCGAAACGCATTATTAATTCACGGCAGAAATAGGCAGGGCGTTGATACCTACCCGTGAGGACTCACAAGAGGTCCTACCACCAGTAAAAATTCGATTACTTACCGTTTAGTTGTTGAGCCAATCCCAAGAGTCGTCGTCGCGACGCTTCTTCTTGATCGTGAGACTCTTGATGTCTGGCGGGGGGCTGGAAACACCCACTTGGGACAGATCGCGGGTGTCCAAGTTGTTGCGCGTGGCCACAGAGTCCTGCCATGGCTGGGTCTGCTCGTTCCTGAACACAGACACCGTATTTGTGATATACCACCAGCCGACATCGAAGTAGATTTTTTTAAGGGTTTTTATGACCTGGTTACTAAGACCTTTAAGTCGTATCTTATTTTAATTTATTTATATACTTATTTTTATGAAAAATGATAATATGGGGTGAAATGAAATGAGATGATATGGGATGAAATATAATCTCAGTAAAATGGTGGTCATTTACTGAGATTTTTTTCAGTGGACTTTTTGAAGGATCCCGAGAAGTTACGTCCAGCGGCTTTGTTTCATTTTCGCACATTTGTGCACTTTCACAGATATTAAAGTTAATAAACCACCGTTATTACACACTGAAGTCTGTACAAACACTAAATAACCAAAATAAAACAAATCACACAACTTCACTCCTCGCGTTCCTGCCAAACAGTCCTCATCGAAGTACAGTTCATCCATACTACCTGGAACCGCTGCGTTCATCCACAGGTCGTTTCCAGAGACCTTTTCTGCCACTCATCATCCGGCTATGGAATGAGCTCCCCTCCACGGTGTTTCCCGAGCGCTATGACGTGTCCTTCTTCAAACGAGACTTGTGGAGAGTACTTAACGATTGACAGCGGCTTGGCTGTGTCTCTGGCATTGCTAAAGTTCACGAGCAACGGTAACCACCAAAACCAAGCCGAAGAACGAATTAACATACGAAGGCACATTCCTCGGCCGACCTTAACTCCGAGTCAACTCACCACTGTGAATACGGCTCCGAAGTCGAGCTCTTCATAGCCCCGTAGCTCTGCGACTGATACGAGCCATAGTTGCTGGCGCGGCGCACATCAGTATTGCCGCCCAGCGAACTCCAACCGCCGCGATTATTAACCTAAAACACAAACATAATAACGGCCCGAACCTTACTACAACGAACAGAATGTGTAACCGATAATAGAAGTGAGTCAAGAGCATATCGACGCTTGAAAGGCAAACGTGACTAAGAGACAATAACTGCTTTGTACATAAATGATAGGCAATAACCATATTCGATGCGCAAAAAATATATATTTCTAGGTCTATGAAAATCATTTCAATCCTACAGCTAGATTCGTTAAAATTAGTCTACTGTAAAGTTCACGCATTGTCGCTTAGTCACGTTTGCCTTTCAAGCGTGGATATCATCATTCGGTTATAATTTAAAACGTCCCTGTGACGTAAGATGCAGTAGTATTCACTCATGCACACCTACCTCGAACGAGGCTCAGTCGCTTCTGACGTCAAACCCTAATGCAGTCGAATCAGCGAGCTTGTCTAGAAGAGCAAACAAACTCCAGTGCTGCCAGATTTTACGTCAAATATTAGTAGTAGCGGAAACAAAATCATGTTATCAAAAGCGAATTCATTCGGACTAAATGCTTTAAAGTTTTAAGTTTTTAAGCTAAACCAAACAAAATGTGTTAGTAAAATCTACGAAATGAAAGCTACATACGTTCTACGTCGTAACGCGTGCTCGTGATTAAAAGACTGGCGAAGCGTTTTAGCTCCCGAAATTTCGGACCATTCAGGTCGAGTTATCTGGCAACACTGTACTCACCTTCTCCGTGACGGTTGTGGCCATTTCAGAGACCTTCTGCGTCGCAATACCTCCATAACGAACGGCGTGATCGGTGGCCGTCTTAGCTGCTTTACTGACAGAAGACGCGAATAATGACCACCCCTGCAAATACATAGTCAGCGTACATAGAAAGGGAGGAGAAAGGGACAGCGATAGATTTAGAGAGGGATAGAGGACGACAAGATAGTATCACATTAGTTTTCGAAAAAGGAATAAATAAATTAAATTATTGCCAATTCGAAAAAAATACGCATTTTGTTGCGATAAAAAGTCAAAGATTGAAAGAATATTGGATGCAAACCAAAAGAATACATAATATTAACAAATCAAAAATTAAAATTGACTGTGTAATGTGTCAAACTGTTCTGTGTTTAGATAATGTACATTAAATAATTCGAATTTCTTTAACAAACACTCAATCCTAACTATCAAGATCCAATATTTAAAGTTTATTCACTTAACTGTAAATATATAGATTAATGAACATATTCAAGATATATAAATTAACAACGCGACTGAATTAGATTAAAACTAATGTGAAATCACTTAACCCTTTGAAGCAATTATGTCGATTTCTGTTACTAAGCGTCTGGATTGCCTAAACTTGGCTTCTTTTGTTTGTTAATGTATGTTTTAGTCTTTTAGGTGTCTTAGAAATAGATTCTTTCTCAGTATCTTTGAGTTCGTCTTTCCCAGAGTCTACTATATACTCTGACGCCTTAGTAACAGAAATCGACATAATTATTTCAGTGCGTCACACAGGGCAACGGTGACCTAAATTGCAGTGAAAGGGTTAATCATATTAAAATCAGATACATTAAGAAACTATCAAAACTAGTGGTCCCGCAGTAATCGGAATTCGACTAAAATTAATTTAAATTATAAGTTTGAACATTATTATGGTTCTGTTGTCAAAGACTATTAAACTTCTATAATTTTTTACAGATTTCGGATTACAGATTTCGACAAGACTACACTTTAGACAAACATTATTAATCTATTCTCAATTTGACCACACACTATAAGCAGTAAGAAAAGTTTGACAATCAACAAATAGTATGCATGCGTGTGCGTGTCAAATACATGATAGTGTGTGTAATGTTTTTTTATTAATTTAATGTTAGTATTTATAGATAATTAAAAAAAAAATAGCATTCTGCACTCCTTCTCTATATTCTCGATAAGTGTGGGAAATTTCATACTCCTCCGTCCGCGCAATTTACGTAAAAAGGGGTACAAAATTTTTGCTTCACGTATTAATTAATATATCAAAATAGTTTTGTCCTTAATTAAATCACAGCTGCAGATAACATTGACTGCTAGTGAAGTGAAGCTCTATGATAATTATAAACTAATTCGACTGTAAGGTTATAAAGTCGTTGATTATAATAGACATTGAAAGATTTAAAAGTTAAAATGAACTTGAGGAAAAAAAAATTAAGCACGTTCAGTTTTTAAAAAAAACTATGTTATTTCATTATGTTAAGTTAGTATTAAGTATATTATAAATTAGTATTTTAAGTATGAAACTTTTAAAAAATTCGCATTCATAGATAGGATTATCGTTGTGCTAAATCATAAGTATATCCTGTATTTTTGTGATTTTTTAATTACGATACGATTCTACAACAAGACTTAGAATTCATTTCAAAGCTAAAATTTCATTATATTAAACAAACAGTTTCAATGTTTAAAATAATACTAAATGTTAAAAAAATGTATATTTGTATCATAATTTAAAAAAAAATCTTTTAATATTTATTTCATTGTCAAATGTTTTGTTCTGTTAGTCTGTGATTGTTTAAATTAAAAACATAGTAACTAAAATAGTAAAAAAAAACCACATCACGCATGGGTTTTAAAAAAAAACACCGATATAGTATAAACAGCGACATAACGAAATAATATTTTGTTTATACCTATATACGTCAGTGTCACGTAGCTCCGTCGCACGCTGTTAAGACTTTCATTTCAAAACTCGAAAATTAAATTTTGCACGGGACAATCTTGACCACACAACCCAACGAACAGAATCCGAGTATATATATACATACTTCAATGCACACGAAAATCGAAAATATCATAAAATCAGAACACAAAGGTACAACAAACAGATTTATCGCTAAAAAGCGTCCTCTTCCAAACAAACATAGTGATTATGCAAAGCATGGATAAATATATAGGGGAGTAATATTACTTCTATTTGGATCAAACACTTCAAATATGTATTAAACAAATAAAATAGTATATTTAATTAATGAATCTAATTTTACACACACACACACACACACGCGCGCACACAATAAAACTATTTATGTGTATATATATATATATATGTACATATTTTATACTAAAATGTAAATTAAATCAAGCTTGTAAAATTCAAGATATGTGTTCCAGCAACCCGTACTTAGCAGTTAATGGATAATATTTATATTGAAGGTTTTTTATTTAATATTGTAAAGTTTCGGACGATGACTAGTGACGATTTATTTACAGCCGTGTACCCAGGGCACACGAAAAAAAAACATACCGATGGGAAACTAGTATTCATTTACTGAGCTAAGCGTACGCTTATCGATTTTATTAGTTCATTTGTGACGACGGGACATCACTCGGAAACGGCTAGGACGATTTGTTGAACTTATTATTCGAAATATTCAAAAAATTTCAGGCCAAATTTAATTAGAAAATAAAACATTAAAATCACAGCGAAGCACGACCGTATTTTACTAATAATTAATTAATTTTTAAATAGGATTCTTTATAGTCATTGTCTCCTAAGATTTCATGTCGCAATAAATCATAGTGGATATCCCAAACATAAAATATTCTTTTAGAAGCGTACCGTGTGTATAAATACGCTTTTTTTCCTGTATAAATTTATCAGTTTAATCGAGAATTGATAGTCATTAACTATCGCGGAGTTAAATGCTTCTCAATATTTAAATGATTGTATTTTCCCGAATTTACCCGTGTAAATTAAGAAGTTACAAGTCAAGTTCACGATAGATCATAACGACAAATTTTAAAAATAATAAAAGCTTAATATAAATAAATAATAATTTATATAATTTACTATCTTCTGTAAGTAGTTAGTTGTGGTTTTTCTGAATATGTACGTAGGTACATATTAGCGTATGTGTATATATAATAGATCTTTTCCTATGAAGTTGCCGTTTTAAAATATTGGCCATTTGAAACGTAATTTATGTATGGCTGGCAATAAATTCTAAATTCATAAGAATTTTATTTCAAAATATATACGAATTCCCTTTTCAAATTTAATATTTTTTTGTTTTCATGGCAATTGTACATTTTTTATCAATTAGGACATGATAAAAATACTAATTAGTACTAAATACTAAGTAATTATGGAAGAGGAGTTTCGTTGCGGTAGCAATGGTGACATTAGCTCGCGAATCCCTGGTCAGTCTTGGTAAATCGCTCATTCCCGCTGCTCCTACACGACAACGCACGACCTCATGCGGCACAACAGACGATCTCTAAGCTACAACAGCTAGGGTTGGAAGTTGTAACTCATCCACCGTGTTCACCAGACCTTGCGTATTTTCCCCAAAATACTGATAATTTTTTTTTTATTGCTTAGACGGGTGGACGAGCTCACAGCCCACCTGGTGTTAAGTGGTTACTGGAGCCTATAGACATCTACGACGTAAACACTTCACCCACCTTGAGATATCAGTTCTAAGGTCTCAAGTGTAGTTACAACGGCTGCCCCACCCTTCAAACCGAAACATATTACTGCTTCACGGCAGAAATAGGCGGGGCGGTGGTACCTATCCGCGCGGACTCACAAGAGGTCTTACCACCAGTAAGCTTCATGGCAGAGAAAAATTCTATATTCGAAAGGCAGTACAAAATGTATTTGAAGTGTGTGTTGGCTCACGCACACCCGACTTCTTCAAGAAGGGCATTGAAAAATTACTACTACGCGTGCATACGATACAGTGGGTGAATATTTTGATTGATAAAAATAAAAACATATTTATAAAACACAGACTTTAACTTTCTGTATACTATACGGCAATTTCGTAGATAAAGATCTAGTTACAATCTAGTATATATATATTTGAGATTTTTCTCCACTCGTCCCAGTTTCTTGCCAATGAAAATGGAATACCCTAACACCAACTTAATGTAATTAGTATTAGATTTGTAAGTTCTATTGTCATATATGAGTTCTGGTCACTAGAAATAAATTTACTATTATTATTGTTGATCATGTATTAGATTGCAATTTCCTTTGGCTCCCACGACTATAAATGTTTTCTACAACCTAATAAATTCTCATTCGGGTGTATGTTGTATCCTTTTCTTTTTTTAATTCTATTTACTTCTTATATGATAATTTGATTTATGTCGCAGTAAATAATCTGTCGCGATTATTTTATTGTTATTATGAGTTGTTTAAAAACGAAACGACCATCAGTATATACATCTACAAGCTTTCCAAGTTCCGAGAACTGTAGCTTGCAATAGGTGGAATAATTCGTTTTGACATTTATTAAGTAAATTCACATAAATCCATTATATACCATTTTAATTAATACTTTTAACTATCTTTTTTTTTATTGCTTAGACGGGTGGACGAGCTAACAGCCCACCTTGTGTTAAGTGGTTACTGGAGCCCATAGACATCTACGACGTAAATGCGTCACCCACCTTGAGATATAAGTTCTAAGGTCTCAGTATAGTTACAACGGCTGCCTTCAAACCGAAACGCATTACTGCTTCACGGCAGAAATAGGCAGTGTGGTGGTACCGAACCACGCGGACTCGCAAGAGGTCCTACCACCAGTAAAATAGGTAAGGAAAAAAATTAACTTCTCAGCAAGTTTTTTTTATAGTAAGCCTTCATGCTGTCTTGTGAGTTTGTGTCACGTCAATCAGATCGATCAAAACTAATAATAGAACACTAGGTAACGTACAGACGCTTTGTCGCATTATAACACGTAAGTAAAACTCGATTGTAAACATTTAGGACGTTTGAACTATCGCCTTGTTGAAGTACTTTTTCATAGGATTTGTGGTGTTTATTATATGGACCGTTTATTTTGAAAGTGGTGTAAGTCCATTTTCTTTTGTTTCGAGAAAATTAAAGGTTACTATATTTGTTGATTTAAAAATACAGGCAAATCATATGAGGTCTAGCTATGCCATCTACCTCTGTCAATTGGACTTACACCACTTTCATAATCGATGATTATGCAATTTCATTTACCGACCGATTTTAAGTTTTACAAAACATGGGATTTTTTTGAGAAATTAAACACGGACTAGTTATATATAAAAAAATTACATTAAATTAAGCATGAATTACGTGATAGCTCATTTTTCTCAAAAATGAACTTACACCACTTTCAAAATAAACGGTCCATATGTTGTACGGTGCTGTCGCTATCTGGTGGCTTTCGTGTCGCCCACGAGACATACCGAAGCGAGAGTCGCGAGCGTGTTGTCGACGACCTCGCTCCCGCTGTGCATCGGCGACATCGGAGTCGAGTGCGATTGCTTTGGGGAGTTACCGAAGCCGGTGTAGCGGCCGCTTCCATACTCGCTGCTGTCAAATTACAAAAAAAAAGAAACATCAATCAAAATTATACTAACTAACAACATCGCTTTGTACTATGGAAACCAAAGATTTTTAAATATACTAGTGGTCGAAATTCGACTATAATTAATTGAAATTATAAGTTTGAACATTATTATGGTTCTATTGTCAAAGACTATTAATTTAATAAGCTTCTATAATCCAAGATTTCGCCAAGACTACACTTTAGGCAAATATTAACAAAGACAAACAATATTTCATCTATTCTCAATTTGACCATAGAATAGAATATGCAATAAGAAAAGTTTGACAATAAACAAATAATATGTATGCGTGCGTGTGTCAAATACATGGTAGTGTGTGTGATGTTTTCTTTATTGATTTAATGTATCTTTTATGCATTATTTAAAAAAATATTCTATATTCTATATTCTTTATAAGTGCGGAAACTTTCATACTCCTCCGTCCGCGCAATTTTCGTAAAAAGGGGTAAAAAGTTTTTGCTTCACGTATTAATATATAGATACATATGTGGCGGTAGTCATAATTGAATATAAGATATTTGCCAGATGTTTGAATCTCGTTAACGACATTTTCAAGATAAGTTTACATTTAAGACAAGTTCCGAACAATAACACTCAGACCTATTACCAGTTGGTCTATCGAGCAATCTCACCCGATCGACAGAAGATCTCCTCTTTGTCGCAAACCTCAAACTTCATCAGTTTCTTGACTGTGGTATTAGTATTTTATTTAAATGCAGAATAAACCGATTACCGATTGAACGATTTAATCATTTTCAAAGACAACCGAAGACTGCTTTAGCTTGAAAAAAATATCTGTCATTTAACTTTAAATTTTTGTTTATTTATTTATTACACTTCATGTAAAATTTACATTGGCGGACTTAATACCTGAGGCATTCTCTACCAGTCAACCAAAGGTAGTTCAGAGTAAATAGTGGTAGGTGCAATGAAAGTTATATTAAATTACAAATACATACAAAAAACATTATAATATATATATACACAATCACATATACATAAATACATATTATTATATACATACATATAATAGTTTATACAGTATTAAAAGGAATATAAATTGTGGCCTATCAAAACAAGTCGTCTCTAAATCATTGAGTTTTCAAACATGAAACCCAACAAACAAACAAACAACTTACCGGTTAACCTTTAAGATGATCGAAACGGTGCATTCGAACGTGAATGCAAACAAACTAACTACATCGATTGCTTGACTCATTTCCCATTCAGCTTCCTGCCGCGATGTTACGATCGGAAATCAATTTCCTACCTATCCAGTAGTTGAGTGCTTCCTACGTCAGGGACGATTCGAGTGGAATGGTTGTTTAATTAAGAATTCATGCTACGAAAAGCTTCCAACGATATTTTACTGCGCTTCTGTTATTAGTAGCACACGTGAATACGATCTATTATATTTAATATTGACTGTCGAACTTGGAGAAAACAGGCGAATTGTGTACCAAGACCTTTTTTTTATCCTACCTAAGATAACCTTGAGAGGCTATTTCAGCGTAACCTTAACTAGTAGGTGAGCTCACGGGCTCAAACGTGACGACGTTGCTAACACGAACCCTAGCAAGAGCCGTGCTTCGCAGAATCTACCACCGGATCGGAAACGCGACCCACTGAGAAGATCCGGCGAGAAACTCAGTAGGCTGTGTCTGTGGGTTAATTTACTCGCCGAGCCCTTCGTCGCAAGCGACGAGTTTGACGAGAACGATGACCAGTGCTTGAGGTACCTAAAAGCATCGTTAGTGGAACGGGATTACCAAGATGTCTCTCAAATCTACGTCTCTTTGGTATATTTGAGACGGAAGAAATATGTTCCTGTTCAAGTCAGAAACTCAACAACCGAATCCGGAATTCGAAATAAAAGAGAAACTTTTCCCTGAAACATATGAATGGCCAAACACAATTTACTTACTGGTAGCTAATGTTGTTATCAGATCCGCTTGTCGGCAGCGTGTTGTCCGAAGAGTAGAAATCGCGAGACTGGAGCCACTCCTGAGGCTTCTCGATCGTCTCGGGCTTGTAATCCGATGGACTCCATGGGCGGCCCTCAGCTAAAGCCGCGATCTGTAATATCAGGCATATGGGTACGTGAGGGAAAATTATTAACAACCAGTCGTACTCGGCCGCTTCGCTGGGCATTTAAAATTAACATTATTATTTATTGTCATTATTATTAGGGAGTCCAACACTCATATAAATGTAGAATAGGGATCGCAGCGCATTAAATAAAAATTCCCCTGATCCAAAATCCTCTTTGCTAATAATAATTAATAATTAACACTTTTATTACGTCTTGCTCATTTTCAACCGTCCTCGCCATCTTCCAATTCTCTTTCTTTCCGTTTTCTCTCACTCACATCATAATACTCCGTTTCATACGTTCCGCTCTTACCAATCCTACATAAATATTAGCCTATCCATTAAGTACGTGTATTTTCTACATGGATACCAAGTTTCAAGTCAATCGGAGGCATAGTTCAGTAGTTATAACGGAACATCCGTAAAAACCACAGTAGATTTACATATTAGTATAGATAAATAGATATTAAACCATAACCACGAGCTAATACATCGCACATACAGAGATATAATGCGATTCTTATTAAAAATGAACTGAGTTTGAGAAAATTCATTTTTAATAGTTATTAGTGAGATGTGATGAGTGATTGTTGTGATGTTGATTGATGTGATGAGTTATTAGTGATGAGTGATTGTTGAGACGCTCGTTTTCTTAATCTTTTTGTATGGGGCTGAGACCTGGATCTTGAAAGAGTCTGACAGGCGACGCATAGACGCGTTTGAGATGTGGTGCTGGCGGCGCATGTTGCGCATCCCTTGGACGGCTTTCCGGACGAACGCTTCCATCCTCAACGAGCTAAAAGTTGACCAGAGGCTATCCACCAAATGTCTATATAGAGTGCTCCAATACTTTGGTCATATAGCAAGAAAACCCTCTGACAACCTGGAGAGACTCATAGTGACGGGTAAAGTGGATGGAAGACGATCCAGAGGTCGTAGCCGAAAAAGATGGAGTGACCAAGTGTCTGAGTGTCTGGACATGAGACTGAGCCACGCACTTCACTGTGCCACAGACCGACATAAGTGGCTACAAATTACAAAAAAAGGTCACAGGCGGGCGCATCACGATGCTCAGCAATGAGCGATCGACTGAAGGAGGAGGAGTGAGATGTATGCTTTTAATAATTACGTTTAAAGTAGTAGTTTAAATATTATTATTTTAAATATTATCATTATATTATCATTTCTTTAGTCGAGAAGTATTACATAATTATATTAAGATGTTGAATTTTCAACGGTTCTCCTGAAAAAGTACATAATTTGCATAAGTGAGGTTATAGCACCGTTAGTGCGACATATTAAGTTCGCTAACTACTTGCTAAAAGACGCGGTCAATAATTTTATTACTATTAGGGAGTGTGGTGTCTGGCCTAGAACTCCACCAGTCCATCTCTACTCGAAGCTCGTAAGAGGAGACTAAGGGATTTAGTGGAGATTCTGATGGTAAAGCGCATTTTAAACTCACACCCACAAAGCAGTAATCTATTTCCATTTGAGCGTGAAACAGTCAATTCTACCTCACGTCTCAAGCTAGTGGTATTCACGTTGTGATGTCTATGTACTTCGGTAACCACTTTACACTAATACCGTGAACTAATTATCCCCCATCTACAAAATAATAAATCCATGGTTCTACTTTTTTTTTTTGTACAATAAAACTGTCTTATTGTCATGTAGTGAGCACAGTTGTTTGTAATAATAATAATTTAAACATTTATTCTAAACATAAATTAGGTACAAAAAAATAAAAACAAGGATAAGAAAAATAATGAAGCTTGGAAACCGTTACCGGCTCAGCAATGCCTAACAGTAACGAAACGATCGGTACTGCGGCGCTGATCTTCCGCCGGCACCTGCGGAGTGACGCGCACACCAGCATCAGACCGATCAATCGTTAATTTATTATTGTTAAAAAGTTCATAACTTAATCCATTACTGCATTAAAGAAATGAGATAATTCAATGCGTGAAATTATATCACTTTTAACAAAACAACTGTCAAAAATAACCCTGAAATTAAATGCCGAAGTTGTAACGCCATTTATAAATCCATGTTCGTTTATTCTGCCTTCGAGGATAACTCTGATATTCTTGAAAGCGGACAAAAATCAGGAAATTCGACGGCCTTGAATTTTTCAAACTGATATATATTTACTCTCTTTGTTTACCTCCAATTAAATATTATTGTTAAATAGAAAAAAAAAACACATAAACGAAGTAACACGAAGCAACCGAATATCATTCCCACATCGCTACTTAACTAATCTTAACTTTATAAACAAAATCAATAACTTTATAACTCAAATAAACGCAATCCCGGTTTGCCTCACAAATGTTTCTTGAACGTGTTTTTTTTTCTTCAAATTTATACTGCGCTGCCGCCTCCAAGAACTTCTATACTTTTATATTCTATCCTAGGTAGACTTCATAGGCTGCAAAAAAGTTATTTCAAAAGTCGAGTCGACTTTAATAAATAAATTTTCGGCAGCTTATTTATTATGTATATTTCTCTGTAATTCACCTGAAGCTTGCTGTCATAAGTAATTACATATTTCGAATAGCAAATCTTACAATTCAATTCAATTCAAAATGATTTATTTGCCAGGGACATGATACATAAATAACGATATTATAAAATTTTAATATTCTCGTTCTTACTTGAATAAAAAGTGTGCAAATATAAAATAAATATAGATTTAATTGAAGATTATTAACATATCAATTATAACATTCATAAATTATAGTCATAAAGAATTTAATTACATTCATAATCCACTAAAATCATAAAATAATAGATCTAATCAATAATATGCTTAAAAAAAACAAATATGTTTATTATCATTTAAAAATTCACCAATATATATATAAATTTTTTTTTTATTGCTTTGATGGGTGGACGAGCTCACAGCCCACCTGGTGTTAAGTGGTTACTGGAGCCCATAGACATCCACAACGTACATGCACCACCCACCTTGAGATATAAGTTCTAAGGTCTCAAGTATAGTTACTACGGCTGCCCCACCCTTCAAACCGAAACGCATTACTGCTTCACGGCAGAAATAGGCAGGGTGGTGGTACCCACCCGCGCGGACTCACAAGTGGCCCTACCACCAGTAAATATAATAACTATCCTTAAAAAAAACTTTACATCGTTTTTAAATTATCGATTCAACAATTTAGATTGATTTAAAAAATTACGATTTAAGCCCCCGGGAAAATTCATTAGTATTTCTCAAAAAAATTAACGAAAAGCCACAGTTTTCAATTCCGTTTTAGATAAATAAAATATTGTTTAAGCAAATGCGACAAGAGCGGCGTGATAAGGAGGCAATCAATGTAAACTAAAATTTATATGTCTTTTTTTCCCGTAAACTATCATATTTATATTTAAAAAAATGAATAGACCGATTGATTGGTACTCATGCATTCGTCAAGGTCACGCTTCGCTATCGTTAACTACATCCACACATTAAAATAACTAGAGCAGCATCTATTGTACGTTGATACTTGTATTGCGAGTAAACTATACCAGAATCCTTCCATGGAGTGCCAATTATCCAATTAAACGCGAATCAATGAAGCGCGAACTCACAGAGCACGAATATAATACAAATATTCATTTTTAATAAGTTTTTATTAGCTTCAGACGTATGTATGTTAGATCTTTGAACATGATTTTGACACCCTTCAAAACGTTGGATTAACTCGAAATTTGGTATACTTATTAAGGAAGGATGACAATTCAATATTTAAAAAAAATTAAGAAAATGAAATTCAACTAAAACTAAACAATAAATAATAGTTGAAAAAACTAACAAAATACGCTTTTATAGAAAATCCAACTAAAAAATAGAAAACAAATTTTAATAAGTTTGAATTAAAAATAGGATAAGAAATATAATAGTAATACAATCATATCTAGAATATTCGTTCCTCTTCACATACAAAACCATAAACGATCTTCCTCTGCATTTACTATATATAGATCCGTAAGATTATATTTAGATATCTGAACTGTGATGCCACAATGGAGCCAATTGTAGTTTCACAATTGATCCAATCCCAGGTCGTGCACCATATTGTGAGCGTATAAAGATTAACAGAGTAGATAGTACTTTTTTATTTCGTAAAGTGGTATTGGTATCTTAGCTTTTTGTTATTTAAATTTGAACTATATTCTCGTTGGAAACTTGAACAAAAATCAATATTTCTTTGTAGGTACCTGCAAAAATTGAGTACGAATAGCTTGACTCCACATTATCAACAAACCTTTTTTTTATTGCTAATATTATAACTCCTGTTATTTTGAGCTATATGTTTGATTTTTTAAAGATTTTATATAGATTTTATTGGTGGTAGGACCTCTTGTGAATCCGCACGGGTAGGTAACACCGTCCTAACTATTTCAGCCGTGAAGCAGTAATGCGTTTCGGTTTGAAGGGTGTGGCAGCCGTTGTAACTATACTGAGACCTTAGAACTTATTTATCTCAAGGTGGGTGGCGCATTTACGTTGGACATGTCTATGGGCTCTAGTAACCTCTTAACACCAGGTGGGCTCGTCCATTCATCTAGGCCAGTGATTATCAAACTTATTTCTTTTACCGCCCCCTTTGAAAATCAATTATTTTTCAGCGCCCCCCATTTTTTATACACCCCTAAAACTTTAAAATCACAATTTCATTAATTTAATTAATAAATGTTGTATTAATTTTAATAAATGTAGTACCACGTAGTACATATGTATTTGTAGATGCTATTATTGTTTCTTCATATTATTATATGTCCGTACATTGCTACAGAGCGTGTATTTACAAATTTGCAAAGTAAAAATGAATTCATCTCATCAATATGTTTGTTTAAATTCAGAATTACCAAAATAAATTGCTAGTTCACTGTACTATTACTATGCTAAATAATTAAAATTTTATATTTCGACTAGTAAATAATACTACTAACAATAATAACTTATTAAACTACGAATAAGC